GTATAAGTATAGCATGGGGCAAAGCCCTCTAAAATAATCTTACATAATTTATTTAAATAAAATTTTAATAATTTATCTCTTATTATTATTTTTTGAGTAAAAAAAATATTTTTAATAAATATGATAAAAAATAAATAAATTTCAATCATTAAAAATAAAAAAATAAATTTTTAAAATTTTATATAAATGTGTTATATAAAATTTATACATAAATAAATCCTTTTGTAATAATAATATTTTCTAATCATTTATAAAATTACTTAAATAACTATTTTAAAAATTCCCTAAATTCTAACCGTTGGCTTTTGTCTTCCGTCTAAAGACGTACACCTCTACGTCTTTCCTATTCTTCTCGGTTTAAACGTTCTTTTTTTTTCTTTTTTGGATAATTCCCAAAAAAATTGGTGTTTTTATAATAATAAAGACTTTCAAGGGAGACTTCAAAAATATTTATTTAAGGGTCTTAAAATATTAAATAATCCTTAAATTTCATTTTATTTAAAAAAAATTATCAGAGAATTTATTTGAACTCTGCCTATAATTTATGTGATTATTAGTTCACTTACACTATTAATATTCAACTCTTTTATATTCCTCTCTCCCTCCCCCAACGCATCGATTTCCCTCAGTTAAAAAAAAAAAAAAAATCCTAATTTAGTACCATGTGATTTCAATTTTGCCCATTACTTTAATTTAATTTCCCCAATTTGGCATTTTTTTGGCCATCCACCAAATTGCTTACTCCTCCCTACCCCGTGCAGTGCACTAATCTTACACCATTTTTCACACAATTCTCCCCGGCGACATCCTCACTGGTAACCAATGATTGAATCTTCCAAACACTAGAATTATAAAAGGGGTTGAGAAGAAAGCGGTGGTCGGTGACTAAAACCAGTATTGGATTCGAGCAGGAAATAATAAAATATCTGGCGAGATTTATGCTGGAGAGGAAGAGAAGTGCTGTAAATTACAGGAGCTCACTTTTGGTGGCCTTGGCTTGTCTTTTACAGATCTAAAACATGCTGCCAGAAAAAAATATATATATAGGCAAATCATGCAAATTACCCCTTAAACTTGTTGACAGGTGGAAAATAAGCCCCTAGACTGAAAACAGTAGCAAATAACCCCTTAAACTTGTCAACGGTGGCAAATCAGCCCTTCTCTAACTGCTAATGTCATCATTCCGTCCAAACTTAACCGGGTCCATGTTTTTGTAGGGTCCACTGTCCAGCTGCACTTGA